AAAAAAAAAATTTGTCCCGACGATCTATCTTCTATACGCAAATGGCTACCATATTGAAAAATATACTATTTTTGTATGATAATTATGGGTTTTGTATTTTATTTTAATAGAAGTTGATGTTGCTTTTGCAATTATCCATCATTTTTTTAAAATTAAACACTATCTACAGATTTGCATCGAAGCGTTTATACTTATTTTTAACCCCCTTTAATGAAAAGTTATAATTGTGTTAGATTGGAGGGCAAAATCTGGACCTTTTCCGCTAATTCACTACTTGTTTTTTTTTTTTGGTTTTTCCACACCATCCGTCCGGCCGATAATGTGATTATGCGACGTCAAGCGTAGTTTTACTATTTATGATGGTGTCACGTTATCATTATTGTGAAAAATACTATGACAATTTTTTTGTAATATTTATTTAGTGTAAACAATAACAAATGCTTATTTTGAAATTAGCAATAATCCTAAAGCTATATATATTCAAAAGATCTGGCTATCTTTGTCAGTCGTCTCCAGCATGTAGCTTTATGCTTTGTCAGACCCAGTACTTGGTTGTCGCTGTACGATTTACTGTATAAAGTGAAGTCTTTGTTCATTCCTTTTGAAGTCCTTTACACATTTCCATTTTGATCCTCTACATTTTAGAGTATTTGTGTCTTGCACTTCAAATGCACCTCATACCTAGGTTTTATCCTTATTCCCTTCCTATGACAATGGCCTTTCGATACCCACAGACAATCCGAAAGTTCAGCCTAGCACAGTGACTTTTGTATGGTCACATGCACATTCATCCTCACCTTCCTTTCGTGGTTTGTTTTGTATTATGACAGTTTAATTAAGTTAGCGTCAGGTAGAGTACTGAAGATCACTCTGGGACCTAGAAATTCAATCATTACTTCACATTATCTGTATAGCAAACGTGTATCAAAATTGCAAGTATAGATTTTTCAGAAAAAGAAAAGAAACTTTTTTAATTTGATTATTCTGACCTTCATTAGTTAATTATTATTATTAAATTTTATTATACGTCTGGGATTGTTTTCATATAAATGAAATGTTATCGGACACAAATTTTATTTTAACTAATAATGATAAGTGATATTAATATTATTTGCCGACCACAAGTAGTTGGGATTAAGTTGAATAAAAGGAAGAAAGAAAGATATTAATATTATTCAGCTTGTCATTAATTTGTTATGACTGATGTAATTAAAGTAAATTAAAACTTTATTATACAGGCAAGAGGTCAAACTTATTTTTTAATTTTAATAAGCAGCTCAAACTTTCACTTTTTATTTATACAATTGAGCCGTTGCGCAATTTTTTTGTGACGTAAATAAAAATTCTATGTGGTAACAATTTTCTACAAAAAAAATTATTATAAAATCATAGATATTTTATAAATTTTAGTTTTATCATTTCTAAATACAGAACAGAATGAATACGTGTCATTTAACATATAGTCAAATAATATATTGTTCAAAAAATTTTAATCATAATAATTTTTAATTATTTTTCAAATGTTTTCATTAAAAATTGTTAAATTTAGTTTAGTATTATTTTATGTGATTTTATGTACAAAAACAATGAACGTTACAAAGGAAACATTAGTACAAATACAAGAGTTATTAAAGTATCCTCGGTGGAAAAATTTAAACGATGTGAACTCTATAAAATATATAGAGAAAATATATAACCTTAAAAGTATAATTGAAAAACCAACACGTCTGTCAGAATATGCGCAAAAGGTACGGATCTTGACTGTATATCTTGGATGCTCATATGCAAAAGTTATGAATAATCTATTTTTAATTATAATTAAGTGCCTGCAAATTAGTAACAATAAAAATAAAGAAAAAAATGACTTATTAAATGGTTACATTAATACCGAAGAACTCATAAACATAATAGCCCTTTTTATTGTTCCAACTGCAACATTGATGAAAGGAGCCCTAGACACATTAGATTTATTACGTAAATCATTATTGACTACTTCAAAAATAAAAGACTACCAGTCCTACATAATGATACTTATTTTGGAGAAAATAGAAGATATTATTAACAAATTAAATAATCCATTTCTATCATGTGATGTTACAAACTTTTCAACATTTGAAATTTTACATTCATTTTCTAATAATGTAATAGATAATTTAAAATATGAAACTGAGTTATATTGTGAATTTGTACCTTATGATACGAATTATTTATGGAATGAATGGAATCAAAAATATAAAGCTATTATTGATAAAGGCGTAAAAATAGTATTTGTTAAATTTTTAACAAGGAAAATTAATGATTATATAAAAACAGTAATTATAGAAAAATATATCCAACTGGGATTTAATTTTGATCCAATTACTGAAGAAACATTTGTCCCAACATCAGAGGAGCTAATTGAGCCAAGTATGTAAAATAAAAAAATATTAATTAAAACATCTAATCAAAGTCTTATATATATATTTTTAGATGATGATTTGGAATTTAAATAACATGAAGAATTCATAGTCTTATATATATTTTTTTAGATCAAGAATTGGAATTTAAAGCAACAGGTGAAAAAATTTCAAAGTCAATAAAAATAGATCATTATATGATTAAATAAAATGAATATTGTTCTACATTTATATTTTATAATCAATTAGAACATGTTAATTGAAATTATTTGCATTATTACTTATAAAATCTTTAAATTTTTTCTTAAAATATTGTAGAACCTTTGTATCATCAAGAGTTATATAGAAATGAATACTACGATTTTTATTTAAAAGATTTATTACGTTAAAAATGTAAAAAAAAAGTATTTGTCTAATTTGTAAAAAGCGAGTATTTACATGTAAAAAACAGTAGTATAGTAGACTCGTGCCATAGTTAGGACAAGTATAAATGACAGTATTTAAATTACTATTATAAGCAAGGCTTCAATGCAAATCTGTAGATAACGTTTAATTTTAAAAAATTGGTGGATTATTCCAAAGCAACATGATCTCCTATTTCCTTATTTATATCCTGATTATAAGTTTTATGATTGATAAGTGTAATGAATAAAAATTTATTATAGCAATTAAATATAGTATGAAATGTATATTTCATAATCTAGTATTTTAATTATTACGAAGAAATTATAAAGTCATTATTACTTTTATAACAAACGTATATATAAAAGTTGAAAGTTTTGATACAATACTAAAAAAAAAAATTGTTTGTTACTTATAAATAAATTTACTGGTTTACAAGAAATTTTCATACGAGACCAAAATATACTTTCGCAAAACCATTTTTGGGCCCATTTCAAATCTGCAATTTTCGCATATGGCCTATATAATAATAAAATCCGTCTATTTAATGTAACAAATATTTATGTTTGATTATTATGTTACGTATGAATAATCAATATATTTTAATTAAAAATAAAAAATTTTCAAAAAAATGGTTTAATGGAAAATTAGTGATTTTTAAATTTGTAATTTTTTTGGAGGTTTCCCCCATTTACGAGGAACGAGGGAAATTTTTTCAATTTTTGAGGGTAATGTCTTCGACTAGATACGATTTGTGATCTTTTGACGTATTGTTGAAAGAAATCTGTTCGATGAGAGCTAAGAAAAAGTGGTAACAAACACAAAAAAAAAACACATCATAGTAAAACCAATGCCTTCTCAGCTTCGCATCGAAGCTAAAACATAATATTGTAATTAATATTAACTAGTATAATAGTAGTATTCTTTGCGCATGTACGCGCCAGTCTTCTGGCTATGTCCTGTATTTTTGGTATCGCATAAGCAGTTGGGGTAAAGAGTAATACTGAAAACACAAATTTGTTTTAATTATATATTCTGAAGTGTGCTATTCCCATTAACAAGCCAGTACTCGAGTTAGTAGATCATTACTCAAAATATAAATTCCTATGCACCTGGCAGTCATACGGCTATTTCCAGCCTTTTTGGTAACGCATATACTGTTGACTTACAGGATTTCAAGAGGTTTATTGTAATAATATTTAATATATACTAACAAAGTTGACTGTATCCGTGCCAGCTAAGACTTAACGCTGGGATACCACAGTCTTGTAAATTATATTTTATATAGATAACATGTTTTAATAATTCTATTTTAATAACTTCAGAGTGAGTTTTAAGAATATCGATATGAACTATAGGGAATTTATCGAAAATGTAATTAGCAAAAACCAAGTATGATATGAATAGAGTTTGATAAGTATAAAAAAATAATAAATCGTAATAAACACAGGTTCCATTGTAGAGAATCTTTTCAAGTGCGTATTTTATGAACAACGTGTATTGTCAAAGTAATAATGATACCTATTGATAATTGAGATATAATATTCATGCAAATCTAATTAATCGGAATATACGCAAGATCCTACAAACGATTGTTAACACTGGATCAAGAAATTGCTATAAGACTAATTCGGTTAACTACGAAAGGAAATAAAGGTAGGTGAGAATATAAATTTTCATGTTTTCACTCCTTAAAAATCTACGTAATAAACAAGAATAAGAGAAGATGAGATAGGGATATTTTATTACTCGATAACTCAATAAATTGTGGACCCGAGATACCCAAAACTAAATATACATCCCTATCCCTTTGCTCCTACTTATTTAACTTTTTTTTTGTTTATTACAATTATTACGTTCAAATATTTTGATATCGGAAATAGGCGTTAATAACTTTATGCCTGAAAATATTTTAACTGTTTTCTAAAGACTTATAATTCTGTTTTACTTTATTTCTTTTATCTTCCGTAACTCATATAGCCCATTAAAAACATTGTCAACCTAGATTTTGAGGGTTTATTACTACTTTTCTCATTTTAATTTTTAAGACTGATATTTGTATACACCGAGTAAAATACCATCTATATTAGAAAACGAGTAATTACCTTTACCAGCATATTTGTCTTGTTCTTCAAATAATTTTGCGTATGACAAATCTACAGCACGAACGACTTAATTAAATTGATTAATGATGCAGTGTTTGATATGTTTAATTAAAATAAATATATGTAAACATAATTTTAATATGCTTTCGTTTACTAACAGGTATAATGATGGAACGCGTTCAATTTAAAACATGAATATAACTGTAATTTTAAAACATAATACTATTAATAAGTTTATTTTAAACTATAATTTTATTAATTATCTTTTCTACTTTTAAACCGTTTGCCATAGCCTGTTTTAATTTTAGGCAATGCACAACAAAGTTTTCTTTACGGTCAAAATAGACAGTAATTTTTTAACTGATGAATTATATGGACATTTTCTTTCAGGTAAAAATAGCATTTTGTTATGGGCATCACAAATCACAAATCGTATCTCGTTGAAGACATTGTCATAAAAATTGAAAAAATTTTCCTCGTTCATTGTAAAGGAGGAAATTTTGAATAAAATTATAAGTTTTAAAATTGATAAATTTTGATATTTTTTATTTCTCAAAACTCTCATAACTTTTTCAAAAATGAACAAATCAAAATAATTTTTTTTTATTATGAAACCTTAAATATTTCTCTTTCATTTGATATAATTTTTTTTTTAATATGACCGTTTACTTGGCCATATGTTGGGATTCAAAATAGCAAATTTTTCACTAAATTTAATATTTTCAACTTAACTTTTGAAAATGTTCTGGACATACTGCGTATTTTTAAATATATGTTATTATTAAAGCTTATTTTACATACCATAAGTTAATAAATTTTCTTCTATATGCAAATTGCCGTCGAAGTAGAAATAATTTATTAAATATTTATTTATATGTTACACTTATATATCATAAAACTTGTAATCTGGATATAAATAAAGAAATAGGAATTAATTTCGCTTTTGGAATAATCCACAAATTTTTCAAAAGTATAAATCATTACAATTAATTGAGTTCTGCATATTTCAATTGTAGGATTTTTTTAAACACCAAAAGTTATTTAGAAATGATTACTATAATTTCTATTTAAGTGATCTATTATTCTATTAATAAAATTTCCTGACTGCATATTAATCTTAACAATACAATTTCTGTTATACTTATAAAATTTTCTATTTAATAATTTCAAACTTGCGAGTGAACTAAAAGTTATAGTAACAAAGTCAACTTTTTTCTACAATAAACTTTGACAAAACTTTTTCATCAAATTTAAGGACAAATAAAATAGGTTAAAAATGACATTTGGCACTGATTATTTTTAACATATTAAAAATTAAAATCAGTAATAATTTGAAAACAAAAAATTTTTTTTTGTTTTAATTATTATTTTATATGTAATTAGTAATAATATAAAAATTAGAAGTGATAGAAAAAATCTAATTGCAGATTTGAAAAAGCGCGAAAAATTGATTCAGAAAAGTATATATTTTGGTTCTGTAGAATGTTCATTGTAGTCCAGTGTATTTATTTATAAATAACAAAAAAATGTTTTGAAAAGTTTTGCATCAAGCTCTTTAAATATTTATACGCGTTAAAAGTAAAGAAACATACAACTACTTTATCTATTTTATTATTTTTCCATAAAAATTACCGTATTAAATTATTGAATATCAATTTCATACTTAATTTATTTACTATAATTAGTATTTATTCATATAATATACTTTTAAATCAAAGAACCACTAATCAGGACATAATTAAAGAAATAAGAGTTGATGTTGCTTTTGTAAACACTATCTACAGATTTGCATTGAAGCCTTACTTATAATTATAATTATCATGTCATCTTGATAACGTCATGTGATTACAGTCAATCATTTTTCATTTATCATATATTTTCTTCTATGTTTGTACAATTTAATATTAGTGCTTTTGCTTCAACTTTTAATTATCTTCAAACATACTTATTTGCCTGAAGAAAAACGCTGTATTTTTAAGTAAATATACATTTTATTTTACGTAAAAAAACTTTCAAGTCAAAGTCTTATCACTAATGGTTTTGTTACCATATTGTTACTAACTTCAGTACACTATTTCCGGAGACTTTAACGCTAGTCCATTATATACACATTTCTCATTACCTGGTGACTACCTCTCGCTCATCCATAATGCCTACCAACTCAGCCAAAACTTCACCACCCCTCACCCGTTCAACTTCTTCGTCGTCTTCAATCACATCAACAAACTTTAAATCTACCGATGAGCTTTTTAAAGCTATAACCCAGATCCAACAGTCACAAGATAAACTATTGGCGAACCATAAAGCTCTTAGTAAAGAAATAAAAGACGGTTTAAGCTCACTTACTTCTCGATTTGACACTCTCACTATAGAAATTAGAGACCTTCGTGGTAAGGTTGAAATTCTGGAATCTAAAGTTCTAACTCTGGAAACAAACACTCCTAAAACCGCTCCTCTCTCCTCG